GATAAGGTAAAAGGAGATTATATGAACATATACTATTGATAGGGCACATAAGACTATATGTCTATCTTTTAATGTAATAAAGTGAAATAAGTCAAATGATATTGAAGTATGTGAATATAGTATAGGTGATATGAGATTATGTGACAATAAGTTATATGAGGTGAATGATATAATAAGAAACTATGTGATAAGAAGATATGAGTTTATGTGATATAAAAGTGTATATGTGAAATAACATGATAGGTGATAAAACCATGAGCCTATATGATTATGTGATATATGTTACATGATATGACATGCGAGTTTACATAAACAAAAGAGAAATGGTATAAGCCATATGAAACGATCTACGTGAATACATGCACTTGTTATACATGTGATATGACATTAGATATATGATTACACATACATGTGGTATGTGACATAAGAGAAAGAACAAGTGATATGAAATGTTATAAATGATAATGCCCATGTTATGTAATATGAAAGCTAGTGGTATAGTTGGCATGCCAAGAGTTGAGGGTTTACCTATGTTCTACGGAACATATGGACAGAATTACCTATGTCTTTCGGGACATATGGACAATATATCTATGTTCTAAGGAACATATGGAAAGTTTACCTAGGTTCTTCGGGACCTATGGACAGTTGTCGAGGTTCTTTATGACCTCTGGATAGGTCCTTCGGGACGTTTATACGAGCTGTAGTGACAGCATAGTGGTGCACAACCTCAATGTACTCACATACCTTAAGTTCTTAAAAGTATACATGGGATTTAAAGAGAGTATAAATCAATTGATATGATACTATGTGTGCTTTGTTGTGAAATGATATATGTGTTCCATGATGTGTATAGAAATGCTTAGTATATGCTTTTGGTGATATGAAATGTTACATGAATTATATGATGTTATGTGTGTTATATGATATACAAAAATGATAAGTACAAAATCATATGATAAATAGAGATTATGATGATGAAGGTATATGTATATGTATGCATTTTGTTACATGAAATGTTCTATAGTTTTATTATATGTTTTATATGTCTCACTAAGTCAACGACTTAGCGTGTGATTGTTTCACACGTACGTTCCGAGAATAGGAAGATTGATAAAAGTTATGCAAGACAGATCAGTTTCTCCTTTCCAAAGATCAAATCAGAAAATAAATGTATAGTATGTATTTTGTAATAATGATAGTGATTGACATGTAAACAAAGATTTGGATCCGATATGCTCTAATCGGTTTTGTAAAATTATATGATTGAATTTTGTAATGTTTTTAAAGTATATATGTACATGGTAAATGTATAGTAATGAACGGTTAAATTTTTACGAGTTTTATGAACGTTTTACGAAAGTTACTGTAGCAGAGTATCGGTACCTGTAGCAGAGTAGGTACCTGTAGCAGGGGTATCGATACCCCTACAGCATTCTTGAAAAATTTTAGCATTAGGCACTGTTCACGGTACTGTTCATACCATATATTACTATTCATAAAAACGTATATTTTCTTAAAATGGTTATAACGAACACAATTCAACAATATATTATCATATTTTCTTAATATAAGTCCAAATGATCTGTATTTTATTAAAAATATTATTTTAAAAAGTCAATGTGACATCTCGGACTCGTATCCGGATCGGGTACGGATTGGGGTGTTACAAAAGCCCTTCAGTCTTGTGAAATGAGGGAACCAAAACCTGAAAGCCCCAACTCAGGATCATTACGAATAGTGCATATGCATAGGCACAAGCAATTCAACAGTCCTAAGAAATATCAGTATACCAGTTCTACCATTGAAAATCATCCACATAGATCGAACATTATTGTCATGTCATGTTATTTAGATTAACATATTCATGTAGTCTTTTCATGTTCGTGTACTTTTTCATGTCTTGTCGTGCTGTATGTCCTATATTAGTTATTTATTTTCCTGTGGTACCAAAAATTGCTAGATCTAGTTTCAAACCCTTTGTGCAATGAATGTAACCGAGTTCAAGAGATGAGGAACGGTGCTAAAGATAGAACAGTAGAAGTTAAACAGATATCCACTAACACCTAGTCAACCTACCAGTCAAGAGCACTAACAGATATCAGCAATGGGGGGCTACCATTTATCATAAACTTTCTCAACTGATAAGGAAGCATTTCCCCCTTTTCCTGTTGGATTTATTGTTCTCCCTCCAAACAAATGCTTTAAAAGTTTCTAGAAAGAATATGATATAGGCAATTAGAATAAAGAGTTTGGTCCAATTTAATTTAATATAATGGACAGAAAAACCTCGATGGTAGGAAGAGTGGTTTATTTGCTGAAGTGCTCGACAGTACTTCTAGTGGCTTCCCTCAGCTTCAGGTGGATCAAAGACAGAGAGACCATGTTAGCTTAATCACATTAGGCCAACATATATATGTGATAATAACCAAGTTAATCACAAGAGTTCCTAAAGAACATTATGCTTCGACAAATCCTGTGAATCTTAACTGCTGCTACGAAATAAAAAGATTTTTCATTAAATGCTAAGGAATGCAATTAAACCCGGGATTCATGCTTCAATATATTCTTTGTTCCCATGTACAAGGGCATGCATAGAGGGACCATTTTCCTAACATCATAAGTGAGTTCAAGTTTCAAAATCAGAAAAAGTTGCACTACAAAGAATGAATTTCTCATTTAGCAAAAGAATGATTACCTTGTATCAAATTTAACAGTCTGAACTTGCTCGACTTATCTAACTCTTTCACTGGAATCATGTATAAATATAATTATGCTCGACTTATGCAACTGATTAAACTTAGATCACCTACTACCAAGCTCCCTGATGAAATAGAACAAGCTATATGGCCAGCCTGAGGCTATATGTTCAATTTTTCAAATCACAAAGGATTATGCGAGGAAGATGACGGCATCTCAAAAAGATCAATTTCATAAAATAAAATAAAAATGCCCTGCAGATTTTGGAGAAGCATTAGGATCAAAGATAAACAACATGAGTGAATTTGGGGTTTTAAACAAAGGAGGCTTCATATATGGAATTAGATTAAAGTTGAATGTAGAAAATTCAGGAATTCACTGATTGTTTTTTCCAGGATGGGGCTGTTTGTTGAATAGTTCATGATATGCAACTAATAGTCCTTTTTCAACACTAGCTGGAGAAGAAAATATAGTTCCTTCTTCAAGAACCAATTCTTGCATGAATTTCAAGACAAGAACTGCTTATTATACTGCACAAGTAGCAAATCATATCAATCAATATCCTAAGTATGATCAGTAAAAGTTTTAGTAATGATCTGCTGGAAAATAAAATTAGCTATATATTAAATGCATTTCAGCTCTATATGTCACCAGCAGAAACTTTTAGTACACTCAGAAAACTTTATGCAGGTCCATTATGCTTTTAGGATCAGGTTCAGTATTACCAACTAGCCATAAAATCTGAAGCCTTTCTCTCTTTTTCTTGCCACTTATATTATTATATTATTCCGTAATCACTATCATAGAAGCAAAGAAATTTTAAGAACACTGCAATATCAATTTATAAAGTCGAGATAACATCCAATAAGCCTTCATAATAGCTGCTAGAGACGATAACATCCCCAAAATGTCAAAGATCAACAATTCAAAACAAACAATAAACGAGACTATTGTGGTATAAAACCATTATGATACAAGCATAAGCAGTAAAGTGTAAGTAATATAAAAACCGAATGAAGCGTCTGGTCAAGAAAACCAGCAAGGAAGCTAATGAAGTTGCATTTTATGAGGGATCTAGATTTAGGGAGACAGTGCATTAAAAACAATGTGGCCTAGCAATCTATCATTTTGGACATCTTGCCTGAGGAATCTTGCTCATAATGGCAGAGTTGGTGTAGTAGATATGATAAGAGACATTACACTTGCTCACTCAAATATATATTTAGTAATAAATACGTTATTTTTTGTAAAAAAAATAAATTTTAAATAACTTAATTAAAATATTATTATAAATATGTTAGTGATAGTTAATTATCGATGAAATAACGATATAACTTGACATAATAATAATTTTAATTCTAAAAATTTATATAATCTATTAGTTTGGTTATAATTTAAAATAATTTAATAAATCTATTTTTCATTTTTAAAAATTATAATCACTTTAGTCTTTATTCTTCTCTTAACTTGTTTATTTTTCATTTATTTTTTAATATAATAATTATTTAACAATAATTTATTATTTTTTTCTGATAAAATCTAATTATACAATTACTATTTTGATTTGATGGACTCACTCGATTAAATAGTATTGTAAAAAAATGAAATTGATAAAACGTACAAATGAATGTTTCAATTTATAAATTATTTCGAATTTTGAAGAAATTAAAAAATATATATAAATTTTAAAATTAAAAATACCATTATAGTATACTACATTAGACGTATACTTTAATTTTAATGATATAATAATTTATTTATAATAACAATTTAGTTGAGTAATATGTTTAAAGAAAAAGAATTGGTTCGCTTGTTATCAAATATAATTAAGATTTTAATTGTAATTTACCCGTACCATAATGGGTGGAAATGTCATTTTCAAACCGGAAAACAGTGTACACATTCTTGCAAAGTCCTTAAATTATAGAAAGATATTTGAACAGCAGTTAGACAAACATAAAATTTCCATAATACCATCATCATCAACTCCTCAGCTCACTGTTTATCTAACTATATTTACCCAACAGATGGCACCATAAATATGTTTTCAAGTTTTTCACTTCAATTAGCCACCCCTAAAGAAAGCTATCTAAATGCCATTATCACCCTTAGAAAGCATCATGTCAACAACCTATCTAACGACAGTGACCAACTTACAATTTTTTTTCCGGTGACCATCCATGTGGTTTATCCTAAAATATAAAATTCAGTTCCTCAAACGTGGTTGTATTTTTTTGAAGGGCAAGCTGGGTGGTAAAGTAAGTCCCTTGACCTAATTCTGATCGTATTATGAACAAGAATTTAGAACTGAATCCTAACATTTTCCTTTAGAAACACACAAACACATGATTCAAGATTCACACAAACAATGACATAAACCAGAAAATTTTTGAATGTATATCAAAAGAGAGAACTCTTGGACCATCATGTCTCCTATTAGTTCCTATTGGTTCAGCTCTTTGCTTCTTCCACAGTTACTCCAGAAAAGATTAGATCCCAATTAGTTGATCACAATCTATGTTCATTCAGGCTTCTCACACGCACCTTATCAACACTTTAATGTTCCGATTTGCAATTGTGATGCTAGAAGCAGAGCTTTTGAGAGAAATGCAACGGAGTTAAGAATAAGTATACTTATATGAGTAGTCATCGTTTCAGCCTTCTATGATCCTCTCGTAGAAAAGTAAGCTGGCTTCTGCAGCTAAAACATCCTTCTCTGAAACACTACATACTTGAGAATCTGAAATGCAGAACCACTTGGTTGTAGCAGGATCGGGGCATTCAGCAGAACCCTCCTCATCAGGTTTAGTTCTCATACTTCTGTAAACAGTATAATGACCACCTCCAGATCTCCCAAAGTGCTCCACAACTGACACAAGCCGGTATAATTTAGTTTCTGGAGGAGGTAACTTGCCAGCCGAACTTACCTGCATCAAGAAATTAGATGCACATCCAAGATAGACAGCCGTCAGCCCTCAATCCATTAAAAAACCAAACATGTGCCCAAATTATGAATCCCAAATCTACGGTAGTGTAGATATCAAGTTGGTAAAAGTTCTGAAATTTAATCTAAGAAACAGATGCATTTATAAGGAATGGGTTATAACTTTTCAAAAAAACAGGTTTAGAGTGCTAGACTGGGAATCTTGGTCCATGTAACTGTTAATAAATTGCCATTCGTGATCACAAGCAGCAAAAGATATCTGAGAAATTGTTCTCTTGGCACTTCCTTTATGCACCAATAATCAAATTTGATAACAATTTCACAGTTTTTCAATGATGAAAAGCGCAAACATGCACAAAAATAGCAGAGCAAGCAATGCCAAAAAAGAAGGGTGGAAGACATGAGGAAACTGCTAGTTTAGCATTCATCACACAAATGCCAAACGCAGAAAGGCACAAGAGGACCAAGGCAAGAAGCTTATAAAGCTCTGCCACCTTAACACAATTCACAAGACGTGCTCTAAAAACATTAAAACTAACCATTTAGTGGAATAACAAAAATAGTAATTAATATATTTTGCTCGAAATTACGTAACAGCCTACATATGTCCAGATTAGAAATTGTTCAACCAACCTTGTCATCACGCTGCTCATGCGATTTGGAGGCCTTTGAACAGCAATCAGTTGGGTACAGCTTACTCTTCTTAGGAAAAGAATCTCCAAGGGAAGTAGTACATTGAGAGTCATCAGCAACTAATATTTCCGAAGAAACCTTTTCTCCCATTGGTTTTCTAATGTGATTGAAAATGGTTTCATATTGCACATTGATAAGGTTGAGATGAGGCCTTGGCTTTTGATTTTGCAGCTTCCGTTGCCCTTTACGGACCCCTTCCCAGTTTGTTATTTCCACCTCAGTAGTCATGAATGGTGACAGGTCTAAAATCAATGGAAAAGAAATATGACCCTGCATCCATTAACAGATAATTTACTATTATGACAACCATTCTCATAAAACTTCCAGCAAAGAAGACGTACAAGCAAGAAATACTTTTCTTAGAGAACTACCTGAAGTTTGATTAGTTCCCCGAATTCATTCATTGAAGCACGTTGTAGATGAAGGCATAGAATCTGCAAGTGTACAATTGAAAAATAAGCATCATAGGAAACAAAATTCTCGTGCAGATAGTCTACAAGTATAGTCTTTACCATGACCCTAAACAGCATACATATACTTTAAAAGCAATTTGGACTTTGGTACAAGTAATTGATACATTAATATTAATACCTTTGGACAACGAGCAATACGTAGCTGCTTTAGAGTATTGGAGAAGTTATTTGACCAGGGTAGACTTTCTAGACAACTTAAATTTCGACAATCACAGGAGTCTTCTGCGCTGCATCTCATCAACTTTTCAATCTCAATCTGAGACAAAGTTTATAACATTTTTGTCATCAAGTAAATAGAAAACAAGCTAAAGTTTACATTATTGTACTAAAAAAGTCACTACCTCGTTTTCTACTTTCCAAGATAAGTACTTTATTGCAGCACTGTGCCAACAATGGCTGCAGTAGTAATTCTCGAGCTTTTCAGCAAGGACAAACTGCCATAAGCAATCCTCCAAGGTACATCCATCCATCTAATGTTGCATTGAAGAAATTTGCACTAGAGTTAAGAGGAGGGTCCACAATTTATAAAAGAAATTTTCAAATAAGTTACAAGCTTAACCATCCATGATAAAACATTATGAAAGGGCAAAACCTTTAATTAACATACAATGGTAGAAGCACCATAAAGCACCGGGAAAAGGGGCAAGCTGTGAAAAAATTGAAAATCCAAAGAAATCTGAGTGGGAAACACCAAAATGAAAATGAGAGGTTAGATAAAAGTTTCATATATTTGAAAATGTTCAAACGTAGCTGAACAATGGTTTTGCTTACATGAACAAAAGCAAAGGAAGATAAATTGTTAAGATGCGTTCTATAAGGGAATAAGAACCTGATATGAGCAACTCTGACATGTTAAAATGCTTCCAATAATGCCATCAAATGGTCCAAGATAGTGTTGCTGCCATCTTTTCTGCTCATTCTGATCCTCCTTCCTTTCTGGAGTCAGAATCCTACAACTTTGAGAAGCAAAAATATCTGCTAGAGTGCTTTGACTGGGAAGATAGACATCAGAAAATTCTTCTCTTAAAGAAGACAAAAGATGGAGAAATGCTTCAGCTGCATCCTGCATGTAGAAGTGACGTAAGAAATAAATTACACTCTAGATGGTGTTAACTTTATTGATAAAATATAAAAAACACAAATGCACCTGCTGACTTGTTAAATCAAAATTTTGAATATAAAGCGTCAATGCACGCATGACTTTATGCGGGCTTAATGCAACTCTGCTTTCTCCAGTCATGCCTAATTCTGCAAAATTGGAATATACTCAAGCAGTGATGACCACATTGAATACAGGCTCTAAGGAGGTTGACAAGGTCAAAAGTGTATTTCTGATCCTCAACTAAACTAATCATTGGAGACACAGCTGAGGTAGCATATTATATACCTTGGTCATTGGAGAAATAAAAAAACACACTTACAGACAACATTTGAGTGCATTAAAATACCAGTGATGTGGGAAATTTAGGGAAAGCAAAACACTTCACAAAGTTCTGATGTTACCTTCTAAGAGATCAGATAAAGTAATCGTAAGTGGCAAGCTTTCACACTGTCCCTCAACTAGTGTGGACTCGCATTTTTCCAGTATCTTCTGAAGAAAAGGCTGAAAATGTGAGCAGCTAGCCAGAGCCTGAAATATTGCAGATTCAAGAACCCAAAATGAACAACGTTTTCCCCATAATTCTCCTTAATGAAAAATGAGCATCAACTAACTAATAAAAGCAAAAGGAAACAAGACTCGAGACATAACTAATTTTCATTGTCCTATTTTTTCTTCTCTTTTTCTTGGCAACCACAGAGTCTAAACATAAACAGAAATACCCACTTGCTTAAAGGAACCAAACCTGCAAAATAACATTCAAGAAGCAGTTGTTGCCAAGATTTTGCAACCCAGGAACCAAGCATATTTTCTCCAAATGTTTCTTTCTCTTCTTCCTCAATTTATCGTCTCTTATTATAGCCAATACGATGCCAACAACTCCCACTAAACCAACCACTGATAAATGGAACCCAAAAGCAGCCGCCCATCTCATATGCAACAAAGCTCTATAACCATGTTTCCAATTGCGGATTGTTTCCCTTATACTTGTTTCTTGTTCCATTTTCATTATGCTGCTGACAATAAATCCTGCAAGAAAAGGTTGAAAAGAAAAAAAGAAAAAAAGAAAAAAAACTCGATGAATAAATGGATGAAAAACAAATTTCAACAGAAACTGCTCCATAAACTCCAATAATAAGATTCTAAGCTATGCATAATCGAGGAAACAATTTTAGAATTATCATAGGGATCTGAATTCAGATATGAAAACATATACATAAAGATGCCTGCAAATCATGGATTGATTGCAACTTTGCTAGTTACATCGAGAACTAAAAGAACCTGCAAACTTTGTTAAACAAATCTGGAATTGCTCAAATTCAACAATAAAAAGAAACAAATTTGTTTAACCAAGTACAGCTAAATCCCTTACTTTCCTCCACTTCCCTACAAGTATTCGGTATCACTTCAATCAGTAAATTAATAGCAAAGAAAGAAACCCTTTTGCAAAATAAAAAGGAAAGAATGATAAAGAAGAAGAAACAGTTTTAAGCCAAAACAATTCCATCAAATCAGTTTTAAGTCAAAACCATCAACCAAAACTATAATAAAGTAGAAGATTTTTTCTTGCATTTAATGAGGAAAGGTTCAATCAAACAGGAAAGAGACTGTACCAGTAGTTCATCAATCACCAAATTGGATACTTTGGGAATTGAGTTCTTGTAACGAATAAAAAACAGAGCTTTGAAATACAGTGTGGGGCAACGATTACAAAACAAAAAAAAAAGGAATCAAAGAAGGAAAAAAATTAAAGCGAAATAAAATAGTTATAGAAGCTTTGGTAATGGCGACCGAAACGGAAACATCGGGTCCCGATTGAGCGGGAAGTAAGACCGTCGTCAAGCAACGAGTTTTGGCTGTTGGGTAAACAGTAGGGTGAAAAATCATTTCCTTTTAGGTGAAAGTACCTATAGAACCCTCTATTATAGTGACGTACTCAAATTAGTTCCTTTGTTATTAAATGGATCAGATTAGCCCTTTTATTATATGGATCGGTTCAATTTAGTCCTTTTATTTTATGGATCGGTTCAATTTAGTCCTTTTATTATATGGAATGATTCAATTTATTTTCATCTGAAGAAACAAAATCACAATTTTTAAATATAAAAAATAAAAGCTTATCCAATTTCACAATTAAATATTCCAAAAGATAAAAAAAAGTCTACTTTTTTATAATAAAAGATTAAAAAATAAAAAGTCCTACTGATTTTAGTTGTCGAGTAAGGAAGACAAACTGGTAGATAGGACGAGGCAGCTTCATCTATCTGATCCCACCACTCATAAAAACCAAAACTCCTAACATCAAAGTAATCATTTTTCCCTTTTTCTAGTTGATCCATAAGCATATCCAGATCCCAATCAAAACTCTCTAAAAGAAAGAGGAAAAAAAATGAGCAGTGACGAGAAAAACACAGCTGTAGTTGTAGATCACCAGCATAATCAATATGGAACTTTCCAAGGAGTGGCCAACTACCCTCCTCCACCTCCTCCTCAGCACCATGGCCCAGCTATTGGGTTTCCCCAGCCTGTTCCGCCGCCTGGCCTCCATGGGCCCTCTGCTCCTCCTCCTCAGTATTATTCCCAAGGTTATCAAACCGTTCCAGGTAGTCTTTGTCTACAAATAAGAGTGAAAAGAATTTTGAGATTTGGGTTTTTGTTCGTTTGAAATGTTAACATGTTTTTTAAGATGAAAGATCTATTATTGTTTTAGTGTTTTAGAAGATTGATAGGTGTGTTTATATAACAGCAGGGGTTTTATAATTATAGCAGAGAAGATATGGAAATGACTGCCTAGTGCCTAGATATATAAGCTGCTTTGTTCTGTTTTTAATGCAATAGAAAGACTTTCCGATATTTGATGGATAGAAGAGAAAGAGGGTTTTGAAGGGGTGGGGGAGTCTTGCTATTATAGTTGACATATTTTGTTATATATTTCATAATAGTTTTAAGAAGAAATGAAGTAGATTTCAGAGAAAGATGAGAAATAAAGACAAAACATGTATAAAGCCTTTCAGGAAATTGTGAAAATCTTGAGATTTGACCAAGCTGATCTTGTTGCAAGAACAAGTGTTGTGATGGAAAATCTTAGGTTGCTAAAGCTCTTGCGAAGAAATAGAGTGTTTTGACTCATGGATACGTATTGTACAATCAATGATATTTTGGTATTTTTGTAATTTGAGTGTCCGAGTTTCTTTTCTCTTATATAATTCCGTTGAAAACAATTTTTCAGCAAATTAGATTTTTGTTCCTTAGGTACAACAAATCCTGCATTGTTTTAATGAAAATTTTATGTTCTTGATATGCTTTGTCCTTGACACCTTTGATGTCTAGGTTATGCTGTTGCCGAAGGAAGACCTGTAAGAGAGCGTCGCCTACCGTGCTGTGGCTGTGGCCTTGGGTGGTTCCTGTAAGTCGTGCATTATTTTGTTGTTCTAAGATTTTTTAAAATATAATGTCAAACAAATAACAACTTAATGAATATGTTATACTCTACTCTGATTGTTGTGGGTTAATAAAAAAAAATCTCACATCTAAGAGAACAAAAGAACAAGGAGGGAAGGACAGGTTGGACAAATGGAAAATTAATATTTCTGTAATATTCAATTGGAGATCTCCTATCATATTGGGAGGAAAATTCTGTAGCTTGTAAGAAAGCTTTGAGGATAGCTATGACTTCTAGAATTGAGCTTTGGGGGACTAGGAGGAAACATTTTAATAATGAGATCAGTACGGTGGATGCTTGTAATTTCAAGAAAATTACAGGATAAGAAATGCAATGCACAGCCTGCATCTATTGAACCTTACTTGAGGATCATGTCTTAGATGATTTTTTCATGTGCAGCTATGATTCTGTTGAGACATTTTTTAACTATATAATGTTAACATGAATGCTTGAATGGACCAAATTTGATACCATTCCATTTTAGCAGCCTAGTACTATCATGAAATGTGTAGCACTTTGTCTCCGTAAAGTTCCTGTTTCCGTGAAACAACGTTTTTAAGTTCATTTACTCGGATTCAGGGCTGAGTATCGGATATGGGTAAGTTTCTAACACAGGAATGCTAGACTGTTCCCGGTACCTATGTCAAGGAAAATGAAGAATCAGAGCAATAATTCATGACATAGTCTACTAGACCCCATAAACAAATATCTTCTAAAACAAATTTGACCGACACTTGGATATGTACTCAAAACCCGAATCCGGAGCACAATCCACATAATATTTATTATTGTAGTGGTTCTTGTTTTCTTTTTTTGAAATCATAGCTACCATTTAAATAGCTTATGGTTCTTGATCACCTAAGAGGGGTATACTTGTTTGAAGGTTCATCATTGGTTTTTTCCTTGGGGCCATCCCCTGGTACATTGGATTGTTTATGCTACTTTGTGCGAGGGAGAGGATGGACCACCGAGAGAAACCAGGATATATTGCTTGCACAATTGCTGTGAGTATCATTTCTGTCGAGTATTTTCCAATTTTATGAAACCCATGCTGCTTTTGAACCCTTTTGCCCCCTTTTCCTTGAGATAGGTTCTTAGAAAACCGTTTAATTAAGCTGTGACCCGTGCAGGCTGTTCTTGCTACAATTGCAATTGTCCTCGGTGTAACAAAGGGAATCGACGATTGATAAGTTCTTCCTAGCTGTGTATATTTGGGAGAATAATGTATACACCTTTTCTTGTAAGTTATCATTGTGAGAATCTGGTAGAAGAATCAGTGTGAACTACATGTATGATCCATTAGTGATGTTTGTTAAATTAGAACTTTTACATGGATTTATATTAAGCCAAATAGAAAGTGCACATTGTGTTAAGTTGTGATTGAATTGCATGGTTTGCGATAAATGATCTTATATCGAATAGGGAAAACAACTACTATTTTATGTTGTTGGTGCATCAGTCCGACTGTTGATCCGGTCAGATAGTTTGAACTGTTAAATTGGTATAAAATTTGATTGAACTGTTGATCCGGCAATGAAACTTTATTTAAAATTAACATCATTTAAAATGTGACCAACATAACAATCACCAACATCATTTGAAACTAGCACAAGGAAAGACCGCTCTCCGTAGATCAGAACGAAGTTTTTCTTTCATTTGTCAGTCGAACATTGTCACATGTCTGTATCTTAAAAGCACGAACAGCAAACTGTATACCTTGATTGCATACTCTCATTGACCCAATAAACCCAAAGCTGCTATGTGGCCTTACCTAATGAACAAGACATCAGAAACCAGCTTTAAGCAATTTCAAAATTTTGAGCAATTATGCGAAACGTGTAAAATAAATAGAAAAACTGGGTACGCATTGGAAATCATAAACCATTGGAGCGACAATTTTAAGTGATACATGTCAAATATAGCAATATTGATGCCTGTGTTCGGAGATCGTGCATGTTGATCCAGTATAACCTTCATTATTGCACGCATGCCCATTTTCTAAACCTCTTCACATGCACGACTATCAAGCCTTATAAGCCATATGCACGACAATCGAAAAATTGTTTCTTTGGAGACAAGTTAGTGTCGTCAAGGCACAAGGTGTACTCCGTGCGCCAGATCCCTTATATTGCCTTAGGCACAAGATGCAACAAACGCGCTAGCCTGAGTGAAGTAAAATGCAATATGTAGCATGTGAGGTTTTGTGCCGCGCACAGACGTGTATAAAGATATAAAAACTCTTTAAAGTGTGCTCTAGTTTATCTACAAAGCCTGTAATTCTTTTACTGGTCAGTATGCATGATTTCTTTATGGTCAATGTTTGATGTTCTCAAATAATAAGTACTAAGTTTAGTATTATACTTTTCTTACTAGTAAAGGGTTACGGTATGTCAAATGAGAGAGTGAAAACAAAAAATTAAGATATTTCCAATAGGCAGCTTTATTATGCTTATCATTGGCTTAACAAAAATGCTCACCTAGGCAGACCAAGCGTTCACCTGATCAAATGGCGCTCACTTGAATGGGTCTGAGGAGCTTTTGTTGTACAATGCTAAGGCGCAGGCACACATATGTGTACGCCTAGACAACATTTAGTTGTATACCAATCTTATACAGATAAGCTTAAGAGCAACTTTTCAAACCAATGCTACCAAGAAGACCATGTTTACTATTTTAACTTGAATCTAAGTTGCTTGTTTCAAGACATTAACAGCAAAAGGTTCCACCAAAGTAGTTCAAGTCTCAACCAAAAAGAAAAATCTAAATCATTTAAAACAGGCTAAGTTCACAAATAAGACAAGTAAAACCAATTGATTTGAGTCAGTTAAGCATGCTCTTTGCTTATTAAGCATTAAAAGTTTCTTCTCCAAATTCACTGAAAAAATGTTTTATGACATGCAAGAACTAAATGGGACTCGGAACGGATTACTGGCAAAAGTATAAATGTAAAATGCCAAAGAAATCGTACACCAAATGACTTCATGTTTATCATATGACCTATACTACTAATTCCAACAAATAAGTTCAACTCATTCTGTGAACAAATCCAGAAACAATAGATTTAGCATTGCTTACCCCCATAAACACTTTTCCTTCAATAAGCCCATAAGGAAGAGGACCAAAATGCCGTGAATCACGCGAAACATACAAGTTATCCCCTTGAATCCAAACATGCCCCTTTGGGACCTATCCATTTAAACCCAAAGTAAAATATCAGGAAAAATGATCATTCAAGAATCTAAATTTTATGCTACATGTTTCTGCAAGGATCCAAGCTTTTACTTTTTTCCCAACCAATTAAAAGTTCCATTCAATTGTTATTTTCACTACTTTATGTAGTTATGAACAATCATATTCATAAAATTCAAATAGGAAAAAAAGCCAAATTTCTCATCATTCAGCTATATCTAAGCCAACAACTTCAATTAAACTGCAATACTCAACAATATGAAAAAAACGAGAGCCGTGGCTCCGAGTGGGGTCTAACGAGTAGGTAACTTTATCACCTTCCATGGCTACAACGCGCTTAGTCAGGGTCTTATTAGGATCGAGCGGCGACCGAACCCGGACCAAATCACCCGAACCCAGTTTACCTAACCGATGAGACAAGCGTTCGACAAGTACGACGTCGCCGGTTATGCTTAACGTTGGGAGCATACTGGGACCCAGAACCTGCGTAAATTCAATTAATTCCTCAAAAACAGTAAAAGAGAAGGAAAGAAGAGGGGAAATGAAAAAGTTACAGACATGGTTGGACGATAGTACGTAGGCATCGGTGACGTGTAGCACGCAAAGGAAATAGAAGCTCGAGCCATGGCCTCTCTACCATGATTTTCCATTATCTCATTTTCTCACTCTTTCCTTTCTCTAGGGGTTTGTTGGGTTTAAGTAAGTTCCGTAAATTAATATAACATCCCTAGTTTAGTACTTGTTTACCAATCTGACTCAGAAGTTTTGGTTTTCTCCAAACTGGTTCCTTTAAATTAGGAGTGTAAATGAACAAAACGTTCAACGAACTATTCATGAATCGTTGATATGACATTTGTTTATGTTCTCTTATTAATATTCTTGAAGATAGAAATTAAATTGAACATAAGGTGAACTTTAGAATTCAAATTATGAAACCCAAAAAAATAAGGACTAGTAGTGTAATTTCATCATTATTCTTTGACTTGCAAATTAAAAGATAATGTGTCTGCCTAACATTATCGGAACGTTAAACAAATATGTTCGTGAACTTTAAATGAATACTTTCGCGAACACATTTGCAAACGCTAAACAAATAAACACGATACTAAAAATTTTAATGAACATAAATTGATCATGAACACCTTCAAAAATAAATAAACAAATACGAATATAACTTTGGGTAAACTACACGGGAGATCACCAAACTATGCTCATTAATCAATCTTGCCACCGAACTATTTTTTGTCTCAATTCGACCACCAAACTTTTTAATTGCTTCAATCAGACCACTCTCCGTTAAAAAAAATGGAGAGTCCGACGTGGCTGCTGAGTAAGCTGGTTGTTTTCAAGTTTGACATGCAAGACGCCACGTTATCGACATGCAAGACGCTACCTCAATAAAAACATAAGAAAAAAGAACCCTATTTAAAGGGCACCCAAAGTTTAAAATTCAAATGTTTTATCATTCTAAAAACCCTAACATAGCTGTTGGCAATTGAAGAAAGAAAGAGTGAAGAAAGAAGAAGAGAAGAATGCTTCAAAACATGGATGAAGAAAATGAGAATCAGATGTACTTATGTGGAGTTCGTTCGACGCTAACAATCGGATGGACCGACGAAAATCCTGGTATGAGATTTTGGGGTTGTGGAAATTATGGAAAAGGGGATCGGGTTTGCAAGTTTTTTTGCTGGTATGATCCACCAGTAAGTTATCGGTTAAAAGCTATTATTGTTGGTCTTCTAAGAAAGATTGGATCTATAGAGGAGGAACAAAGGAAACGAAAATCTGCTTGGATTTTGACTTCTGTTCTTGTTTTCTTTGCGGGAGTGATAGTGGGAATTATAATCTCTTAAGTCTTGTTTTTTTGTCTTCTTTGTTGGAGTAATTTCTGGTAAGTGTTGTTAACTACATTGTGTGGGTTAATAGACGTGTGTTAGAATTGAAGATGCAAGACTTATGTTAGAATTGAAGATGCAATGTATGTAACCGGTTATTTTCAGTGTAATGCTTTAAGTATTAATGAAATGTTAAATTTGAGAGATAGATTTGTCTTAAGGAAATGCTTCAAATATAAGGATATAAAACATACAAAAATTTTCATTGAATTCATTTTCAAGCCAATATATGGCATACATCGAATGTTTGACCAATACACATAAGCAAATACATAAAAGATTTAGAGAACAATTATTTGGACATACATAAGCTACTGTCAATTGTCACCACAAAACCTAACAATATCAGCTGATCAAAGCACTATAATGTGTATGGTCAATTGCACTACTCAAAATATCAAACAAAAGGTCTAGTTTTGTGGAGATGGTTGGTTGCCAGAAGTATCACTTTTATGCCTCTTTGGAGATGACTGACTGAAATAAGTTTACTGCCTAATATGGACAGTGAGGGTAAGCATACATCTAATAGTATAGCCTTGTGAAGGTGATTGTGCCCTTGGACTAGTTCTTTGATTTTGCATCGCAGCTTGGTTTGGTGTTGGAGCTTGTTGATGGGGAGACGATTGAGTGACACAACTATCTTGACTCAATGGTACAATGGGAGTGGGTATGCATCTAATAGTATGGACCCTTGCAGGTTGTTGTGGCCTTGAACTACTTGTTTGATTTTGCATGACAGCTTCATTTGATATTCTAAACTGTAATAAAAAACAAATACAATCAATAAGCTCCAATCAATCTAAAACAAATGCAAGCTAAAACAAAGTCAATATATAACATACTGACAGTTTTGATCTTCTTGCAGCAGATGTTTGTTGGAGGGGCCTTGTATTGCGACCAACCTGACCCTTGCATGTTCTGACATTATGTCCAGAACCCCCACACTTTCTACATAATATTTTAACTCCCCTCTTTGTCACCCTACAAGTATAAGGGGGTGCTTCATCAGCCTCCATTCTTCTATTCTTGTGTGGTCTTCCCGGTGGCCTTCTCAAGGTAGGTGGTAAGATATGCTCCATTGTTTCAATAGGAGTCCACTGATTAGGACCTCTTACCGGGTTGATATAATTTGAGTATATGTCCATTTGGGTTTTCACTAAGTAGCATTGGTGTATAAAGTTTTCTGGGTTTTCATGATTCATGATTATGACAGAAATTGCATGTATACAAGGAATACCTAGATTAAAAAACAATTAGTTATTATAAAAATAAAAAAAATTAACATTATATTAATAAAACATTAAGTTACATGTTACTTCCCATGAATAAGTTATAGTTTCAATGTTGACACAATGCTGATTTGAAGGACCACATGGAACTTGGTATGTTGGTCCACCAGCATGAATGGGCCAACAACTGTATGCATGAATAATATGCAATAACATTATGCAGTAACAATATGTAATAACATTATGATGAAGAATATGTATTACCAAGTTAACCAAAAGCATACATAAGCATTACCAATATGCAATCAAAACAAATGGAAAAAATATAAAAAGTTATACCTATTTGCTTGTGATATTGCATTGCATAGTTTCTTCTGAATTTTAGGGCATACAGGCCCAACAAACTTATTAGCTTGATCCTTTTTTTTGCAATTATTTGCATCAACATTGTTCTAATGGACTCCAACATTGTAATAATTGGTTTGTCTCTAGCTTCAAGTATCAACTAATCACAAAATGAAAAAAAAACATCTTAGATTACATAATAACAATTTTTTTAAAACTTGTATGAATTGGTTTGTCATATTCACCTTATTGAAACACTCGCAAAATTTGTTTAACATCATGTCTGACTTGGCTCTGGAAGAGAAGTGTGACTTTGACCACTGTTTAGGATCCTTCTCTGACAACCACTTGTGTGCTATCCCTGATAAAAGTTGCATGAAATAATTTATTTTTAATATACTCTTCATTAACATGAACACATGTAAAATAACAAGTTTACCAAAAATATATATACCTTCATTCATTCCATGTCATATTCAAACTCCCTAAGATATGTTGCCCTAGCAGTCATCCACAGTTGGTCCTTCAATGCTTTCCCCTTGTGATGACCATTGCTCTTAAAATTTGAATATAAGAGTCTCACACATGTTCTATGTTCTGCATTGGGGAACAATTATGCCACAGCTTCTACCAGCCCCTACACACAACAAAATAAAAGATTAGAAATCAATATTAGATTGATTTAAACTAAATAAAAATTTAAAAGTATGGGAATAAATACCTCCTGTCTATCAGTCATGAATGTCAATATGTGAGAATTATTCAACTCCAAATCATTACCCAATAATTCTAAAAACCAGAACCAGGATGATTGATTCTCACTCTCTACAACTGCAAAGGCTAATGGATAAATAGAGTCATTTGCATCAACTCCAACAGCTTCTAGCAGATGACCCCCAAAAAATCCCTTTAGGTGACACCCATCCAAACATATAATCGGCCTACACCCTGATTTGAACCAATCCTTCGTTGCTGGTATACAAATATAAACCCTCTTGAAAACTCTCTCATCCAAATGACAAACGGTGGTTGTGCCTGGATTTGTATACCTAAGCTCACTTAGGTAATCATACAATTTGGTGTATTGTTATGTGTGGTTACCATGCAGCTTTTCAAGAGCTATGCACTTAGCTCTAGAACACTTAGATGCAGAAACCATGATGCCATAACCATTACGCACATCTTGCTTAAGGGATTTAACAGAATAATTGGGATCAACACGGAATGATTGAAAATATTGTTTTGCTATCCAATTAACAGTTATATTAGGATTTTCAAACCCCTTAAGACATGTATGTTCATTATTCAGTGACTTAATTTGCCAAGTACTATCACTAGGATCTTTAGGGGTAAGTGGAGAGGCTCATAAAACCCAAGGACAACCTGCCTTACATCTTACTTGGATTCTTTTGTTGACATTTCTTCTAAACTTCACATTATACCTATTTTTAATTGCATACATTCTGATTGCCGCCCTTAATATTTTCTTGTTAGCAAAGATTAGTCCAGCTTTTAATTTAGGGTTTACAATATCTGTAGCAGTATTAAATTCAGGGTGTTTAGGATTCCTATGTGAACCATCACCATCTGACTCATCTGCACTGTATAATAAGTCAGAATTTCCATCTTCAGAGTCACTAACAATTATCATTTCATCATTTTCCACCCCAGTATTCAAATCACTTAATTCAACTTCTGAATTTTCAAAGTCATTATCACTAGCATAAAAGTCAGATTCGTCACTACTTTTCTGTGGGGCTTCATACTCATAATTTATCCTCACCTCATCAGGTTCTGGTTCATCAATTTCAGGTTCATTAATTTTTGGCTCAACTGGTTTTGGTTCATTAATTTCAGGTTCATTAATTTCTGGCTCAGCTTGTTCTGGTTCATTAATTTCTGGCTCGGCTGGTTCATTAATTTCGGGTTCAGTAATTTCTAATTGAACTGGTTCTGCTTCATCAATTTCAGGTTCATTATGTTCAGACCAGTGTTGATTATGTTCATTAAGTCTTTCAATGCCTTCCAAATATATGTGAATGTTATGGTCACTAGGTAAAACCCTAAGCATTTCAAGGATATCACTATCAGTTAAGAGTGGTTTGACCTCTAGTGGAATGTTTGACACTTGCCAAAATATATTAAGTGAATAACTAATTCCTAATTTGGTTATCATATCAATAATTACAAAGATGTACATCTCATCAGTATCACAATTGTCAAAGTATTCCACTAGTATGCCAGTGTATTCCAGCATTGTTCTCTTAACAAAAAACCACATGATGTACTACAGTTGTAAATTTTCGAGAATTCAAATATGTTAATGAAAAAATTTCATTATTATTCAAATAATTAAAGAATATTTAACTACAACTGAATATACTAACAATATATCAAAAGAGACAAAAAATAACTTTTCAAATAATAGATTCTAGCACATAACATGTGGGGATCACATTCAAAATACTATACTAATATCAACACATAACATGTGGGGACCACAAAAATTGTAAAGTTACATGTTTGTACATGTGCACTGCATATATTCATGCAAAAGTCAACTTCTAAAATTCACTAAACACATATATTCATACACAACATATACATGCAGAACATATACACGCAATACTCACATTAATTGATTTCATGCAAAAACATATATATGCATGCAAACAAATAATTCTATCACTACATATAAACTCATGTATTCTATAAAACAGTAAGCATATATAACAGTAAACCCATGTATACTAACAACAAACCAATTCGTGCAATCAGTAAGCATAAGAAAAAACCATATAATCTCATATATATTATTTTCATTCGTGTAATTAGTAAGCATGAAAACCATTAATACTAACAGTAAACCCACTAAACTCATATAATCTCAGTAAGTAGAAATATTAACATATATACTAACATTAAGCAGTACACCCAAATAAACTCCCTAACATATATAGCATTTTAACAGAAGAAAGTTTTCAAATTTAACATAATAAAATAAGAGTTTTCAAATTTATTTTGAGGAGCTTTAAAATTATTTTTTAAACAGAAGAAGACCCATTTTTTCAGCGCTTAACATATCTCGCGTTTAAGTCTTTTTCCAAACGATGATATCTACTACCCATTGTTAAACAGGGAGGTTGAAGGCGAATGGGTTTTCTGCGATGAAGGCTAATGGGTTTTCTGCGATGAAGGCGAATGGGTTTTCAGACGAAATCTTTCGAAATCTCTCTAAAGTGCGAAGGATTTTTAGATGAGGAGGTTGAAGGCGAATGAGTTTTCAGACGAAATCTCTCTAAAGTGCGAATGATTTTCAGACGATGAGGTTGAAGGCGAATGGATTTTCAGACGAAATCTCTCTAAAGTGCGAAGGATTTTCAGACGAGGAGGTTGAAGGCAAATGGGTTTTCTGCGATGAAGGCGAATGTGTTTTCACTCTTTCAACGAGTGTATTGCAAAAGTGCGAAGGCGAAGGCGAATGGGTTTAGTTTTAAAAAACCCATTGGTTTTCCACGTATGTACTCAGTTGGCATTAATTATAATTAAAAAATATCGTCGTTAGTTTATAACAGCCACGTCGGACTCTCCTTTTTTTTAAACGGAGAGTGGTCTGATTGAAGCAATTAAAAAGTTTGGTGGTCGAATTGAGACAAAAAATAGTTCGGTGGCAAGATTGATTAATTAGCATAATTTGGTGATCTCCTGTGTAGTTTACCCTATAACTTTATTGTTCAAACACTATTCATTTACACCCTTTCTTCAAATTCATATGTCAAACACTTTAGAAAAGAGTTGGATGATCATGTACTTGGAAATGAAAGTTTATTAGCTTAATATTGATGACCTCAAATACTTCATTGTTCAATAATTCGATTCAACAGAATTATTTTTTCTGTTTCTCAGACAAATGTATAATTTGAAGAAACTGATACTTGGAGCTCAAGTCAAAGCTCAAAGCCTTGTATGAATATACAACCAGTGAGAGTCCTAAGAAAAGTTGTTCTATATGGGTACAGGCTTCAACTTCATGCCTTGTTTTCTGTCATGTCTGAGGCTGTTTGTTTTGGATTATCTAAACTAATCGATCCTTTCAAGATTAAACACCACCATATCTTGAAGAGCGAACCGAAAATTGCTTTTAGGAAGACATTGGAGATTCTTGATTGCGAGGTCGGCTTTCTCTTTTGCTAGCTCTTGTGCCCTTTCGATTCCCCCACACTGCTTTACCAGTTCAATTGCTTTGTCGAGGGAACCGGTCTCACAGAACTCAGATTCGATGATTTCTCTAAGTTTTGGCTCTTTTTCAAGCGCGAAAATTACGGGTGCTGTGAGGTTGCCTTTTGCTAGATCACTACCAGCTGGCTTCCCCAGCTGCTCTGCTGATTGTGTAAAATCCAATATGTCATCAACAACTTGGAATGATAGGCCAAGATTCTTTCCAAACTCATACATTTGCTCAGTGACACCACGATCTGCCCCACTGAAAATAGCGGCTCCTTTGGTACTAGCTGCAATCAGTGAAGCTGTTTTGTAGTAACTCTTTAGCAAATACTCCTCGAGTTCGACATCACAGTCGAACAAACTTGATGCCTGCTTAATCTCTCCACTTGCAAAATCCTTAATAACCTGCAGTATCATGTAAGGATAAGATTCAGAGTAATTTAACTGAAACTATCTCCATAGCCAGATCACATTTCCAATCCTACAGGTGGAAACTTTTGAGTCGAATATCGTGCTACTTGGGTTTACATCCGAAAAAGAAGGAACATTATGCATAGGTCATACGTACCTGGCTGATAAGCTTGATGACTTCAATGTTCTCAAGATTTGCAAGGTACCATGACGACTGAGCAAACATGAAGTCCCCAGCCAGTATAGCTACTCTCGTGCCATACTGTTGGTGAACAGTCTCTTTTCCTACAATTAAGTAAACAGACAGTTTCAACTTTCAAATCATCAGTCTCCCAAGAGATGAAAGACTAGGAGGAAAAGGATATGGAAGAAATTCAAGCTCCCCATGATTTTCTTCTATTATTACTATCATCATTACCATTGCAAGTTAAAACCGAGCAGTCGCAACCATTCTATGGAATGGTAGATGCAGTAGTTTCTCTCCTTAACATGCCCAGACAAGAAAACTGGCCAGAGTCTAGCCTCTCAACCACCCCACAACTACCAAAATTTGTACAGAGGTATACAATGAACATAGATGCCCACAAGTCGTATGTGATTGTTGAATATACTGAAATAGAAACTTTTTCTCTGCCCTTAGACAAGGGTATTGAAGACTCGAACCATAGCCTCATTTAGTACGAACTGCGAAGAACATGTAGTTTTACCTGACTCTTTAACAGCTAAGAAATAATAAAGATTAAAGACTCTAAAAAACCACAGAAAAAGCATAGTATTTTTTTTAAAAACTCTGGCAATTTCATTCTTAAAACTTTTCTTTTCCCTTTTTCTGCTGCAGAAGCTCACCTTCAAGTATGATATAGAGTTAGCCTAGAGTAACTCGTGCACCAAGATGATCCATCAACTGGAATGATCAATGTCATGATAAGAACAAAACCACTGATCACTCATTTCTTAGTTCACTTGAATAGAAGAACTAATACCTCTTCTGATTTTAGATTGTTGCTATTAAACTTGGGAGAGTTGAAAATAAGAACAACACATTGAACATATTAAGAGAAGATTTTAATTTACGGGCTAACCTCTTCGCATATCACTTTCATCTAATACATCATCATGTATCAAGCTTGCAGTATGAATCATCTCAATGATCTCAGCCAAACGTCGATGCTCTGTTGTAAGGCCCCTGGAAAGGAAGCAATACAAAATGGAGGTTTGCCTAATATTATAACTAGAATGTTTTGAATATGTTAGAGAGTCCCAAAATATTACTTCAATCCGGCTAACTCAGCTGTAGCTCTTGAAACTAAGAACACCAGGGCAGGTCTCATTCTCTTACCACCAGCACCAAAGATCTGCTCGGCTGCAGACATTAGAACAGGGTTCTCTGCACCAACAATCTAGCAGACCATCGTCATCAGATACATGCTAACATCAATAACTTTAAAAAACTAAACCAATCAGAAGCAGATCAAAAAGTTGATCCTAAGCAAACAAATTAAAAGAACAATACATATTTATCAAGCAAACATTAGGTTCAAATAACAAGGAAGCATCATATATACTATAATTCAATTCATCTGGACTCAAATGGTGAACCAAAACTTGCAAAACCTTAGGAGCAACTATAGAAGTTTTTTTTTTTTTTGAAAAACAACTATAGAAGTTGAAACAAAATCATGGGGAAAATTTTATATATGACAATAGAACTCTGGATGGATAAGACTTAAACTCAATAAGCACTCACTGAATGGAGATTTTGATTTAGAGTCTGGAGGTCATCAGCAACCACTTCAAACAAGTTAGCCAGTGAAATGGGCATTTTAGCCTCTTTCTTCGAATCCAACACTGGTGCAGTTCGTTCACCAACTCCTACATTTGATGTCAAAATGAGACAAAATTAATTCCAAATAGTGAACTCAAATCTATAACAGCAAGTCCAAAAACCAAAATATAATATGAAAATTGAACTATTAATTCTTTCGTATTTAACAAGGCACCAACAAGCAAAATCTAAAGAAACCAAAATTGCTTCCATGTATATGAACTCCAATAGTAACAACAAAAGTATAGAACCACTTACTTAGATATAGCCAGATTAAAGATACTATGCCAAAGCATAAAACAACCAAGTATAAAATTGAACTTGAATCCAAAATAATAATAATAATAATAATAATAATAATAATGAATTTGAATAACTTACAACCAAAAGCAAGATTGAAACTTGAATGGTATTCAGATAGCAAAACATTACCATCAAGCAGAGCCTCAGAAGTATTTGTGGAGAACACACGAGTTCTACTAATGTCCTGCCTGCTACAAATCATTCTTCTAGCTCCATAGAATTTACTAGTAAATGTTTTCCCGTGACTCTTCACCGAGTGCCTTTCAATTGAAGCATTAGAAGACGATCCAACAGCAACCAAATCAAGCACCCTTGTTCCAAAATCAATATTATGGCATGTCATTGACATCATTCTTAATACCAGCACCCAACAGAAAAAAAAAGAGAGCAAAAATGTCAAGTTTCACTCTTTGTGACAAAAACCCAGAAATAAAGACTCGACCTTTCTTGTCAAATCCCCATAAAACAATCACCAAAATGAAGAAAACGAGCTGAAACAAAAACTGGGTATTCAACAAAAGCTAGTTCAAAAGAGCTCGAAAGGTGTGTTGAAATTAGAAAAGGCTTCCATTTCTCTTACAAGAAAATAAAAGGACAATGGTGCTCCTAAGTTTAGTAAGTGTTCAAAAATTTTGGGTGGATGAAAAAATCCCACATAAAACTTTCTTGCAGTTTTGTCCTAAGCTGCTTATCAAGTGCTGTGAGTTTAAGAGGCTCTTGATGTTTTCTGGACCAGAAAGAGAGTTGGGGAGAGATTTGTTTCATACACAAGTAAAAAAGGGAATTTTTTATAGAAAAGAAAACGAAATTTATGGAAATTAAAGAAAGGCCTTATCTTTGGGTCAAAAATCAAGAGGCCTTATTGTAAAATCGGCCGTTGCTGGTCGAAACAAGAGCCATGTGCTACCTTTTTTATATCTCACACAATTGAGTGATCAAATATAAAATGGCCACGTGTTTGATTCTTCTTCGATATTCACATCCAAATCGACTATTTGAGGATTTTTTTTTGCAAAAATAAATAAAATTGACGAACAATATTCTTTTAATATTTATTTATTAAAATAATATTAAAAATGCTTAATTATTAAAATAATATTAAAAATTCTTAATTATTAAAATAACACTCGTAGTTGAATTTAAAACCTTCATAATAAAGAACTACTGCCAGTAAAAAATATGTCAACGCCTTCTGAAGATCCCCACTCCCCTCTTCCCAAAAAAGCAGTGCCCACGCGATGAGAATCCACAAGATGATCTAAGCCACCAGCCTGGCCCCCCGATCACCTCTATGGACTGCGATAACTCTTCCGCCCCTGACTCTAGTGATAATCCCACGAAGCCAATCATCTCCTATAAAGATATGGTAATTGGAAAATCGGAAAACCTCCCCCTCGAAGAAGATCTTCTTCCCCTTGACGATGATGATGATATCGATCTTCTAGAGGAAGATATCCGGGTAGGAGAATCTGACGGAATAACTTTCGTCGATTTTTCAGATCGTGTTCATGACCTTGCCCTAAAAAGCATGGAGTTTAACCTTGTTGTCAAAGTCCTTGGCAGACGATTCGGTTACAACATTCTTCAAAATCGTATATTGTCCATATGGAAGCCTTCACACCTTTCAAATTGATTGATCTTGAACATGACTACTTTTTCGTCAAATTTTCTTCGAGAATCGATTATATTCACGTGCTTTCAGATGGTCCGTGAACAATTTTGGGGCACTACTTCACTGTCGAACCATGGTCGACGGACTTCAATCCTTCGCAAGCACATCCGAGTAGAATCATGGTTTGGATCCGTCTCCCAGGGCTTCTTATTACTTGGTACAAACGAAATCTGATTGAAGTAATTGGAAACCGCATTGGTTCGGTTGTTAAAATTGATTATCAGACCGATAATGGACGTCGGGGCAAATTTACTAGGATGGCGATAAACATCAATCTGCCTAAACCTTTGGTTTCGAAAGTCTTAATTAATGGTCATATCCAATTTGTGGAATACGAGTCCCTTCTAATTGTTTGCTTCAATTGCGACATATATGGTCATGCAAGCGATTGTTGTCCTCAAAAAGTCAATCAAAATAGTGATAATCCTGCTGACACTGCTGCTGCTCAAACTGTTGTGTAACCCTCAAAATCGCGAGACTCATATATCCCCTGGATGCTTGCTGAAAAACGATAGAGGCGCCAGACCAAACAACAAATCAATCCAGAACCTAAAGGTACGCCCATTCCCATTGAGAAGTCCAGGTTTAATCCTATTTATGACGAAAACATGGATGTGAATGATTTAGCCAATATGACAAAAAATGATGTGGATGCAATTCCTGTTGAGTCACCCAACATAGCCCCTACAGTTCCTTCTTTATATCATGCCCCAAAAGGAGCTAAAGGAAAAGAAAACTCCCCCAACCATCTGATGAAGCAAAGAACAAAGGGAAGGTTGTTCTATTATCCCGAACACAACAGTCTACTCATCTTGGTCCAAAGAATCTGAATTTATCTATCTCCCGCAAATCAAACAAGGGTTCTACAAGTACTTCTCAAGCCACAAAGGGTCGTCCTTCTCTCCTCAATCCCTCAAAGCACTCTGTTATAGAACTCCAAACAAATACAGCAGCTACAAATGGTAAGGTCTCAAATTTATGCATCCCTCCAACCAAAGACCCTACAGCTTTCGTTACTCAAGAAATGCATAACCAATCGAGTGATGGGTGTGATAGTATTTTGCCAGCCTCTGTTCAGAATGATCCAAACCGGACATCAAACTTGTCCAGTGCTACTCCCTCCTCGGATATTCAAGAGATTCCCGTGCATGGTCCCACGGGCATGATTGAATAACTTTGATTTCTCTTGACTGTTTTATTTTCTTCCATTTTTTATGGATTTGAAGACCTTTTTATGGAATGCCCAAGGTTGTGGGCATAAAAATTTAATTCTAGTTACAAAGCAGTATATTCATGATCACCATCCTGATATATTTGTTTTTCTTGAACCTTAGATTAGTGGGAGCCATGCTGAATAAGTTATCGCTGCCCTTGGAATTTCTAATTCCCACAGACTTGAAGCTATTGGATTCTCCAGAGGTATTTGGCTTTGTTGGATTGATCATGTACATATTGATATTTTTTCATGCCATTTTCAATTCATCCATTTGAAAGATATTGCTGTGTCCATTTCCGAGATTTTAATGCTACTCTAACTTCTGATGAGCGCAACGGTTGTTCCAAGATTTCTCCAGACATTGATTTTCAGAACATGACTTTTGATTGTGGTCTTCTTGATCTCCGCTACAAAGGTTTTAATTTTACTTGGTACCGTGGGTTTTGTTCAGTTCGTCTTGACAGGTGTTTCGGGAATGATCTCTGGTTACAATGCTTTCTTGAATCTGTTTTGCAACATCTCCTTTGTATGAAATCTGACCATAGGCCTATTCTACTCTCAACTTCTGGTTTGTCTCGTCTTTCCAAGAACAGACCCTTTCGCTATCTCTCGGCTTGGAATTTTCATAAAAATTTTGATCGTATGGTTCGAGACAACTGGAACTCTAATCTTTCCCTTCCGAAATCTTTAACCAACTTCACCGTGGCTGCAACATCTTGGAATAGAGATGTTTTTGGTGTAATTGGTAAAAACAAGAGGCTCTTAAAGGCTCGCCTCCGTGGGGTCCAACGATGCTTGGATCAACGGCGAACACAAAGCATGGCTAAATTAGAATACAAATAGCTGCAAGACATTGAAACCATTCTTGACCAGGAGGAGCAGATTTGGAAGCAAAAATCACATATGGACTGGATAAATTTTGGTGATAGAAACACGAACTTTTTTCACTCTAAGGCTGTGTGTAAACAAAGAAGAAACACCATTCACATGCTTAAGATTAATGGCAAGGAATGGTGCGATGACACTGTTGCACTTAGGGATGCTGCCTCGGTTTACTTTGAAAGACTCTTTGATGATGATTAGGCTCTTCATGGTAATTATCCCAAATCTAGGTTGTTCCCTACCTAATCGGATTTTGATTTTAACTTCTTAAATTCCTATGTTTTGGATGATGAGATACGAAACGCTCTTTATTTCATGGCTCCTCTCAAGCCCCCGGGAGTTGATGGTATTCCCGCTTATTTCTATCAGAAGAATTGGCGTATTGTTGTGCCGTCGGTTTGCACTATGATTCGTTCAGTCTTTAATGGAGCAGTTTTGGATCCCATATTCAATCGAACGTCCATTGCTTTAATTCCTAAGACCAATAACTCGAAAACTTTTGCAGACTTTCATCCGATTAGCTTATTTTCTGTTCTATACAAGCTAATCACAAAGGTTGTTGTTCATTTGTTACATGTTCTTCCGAAACTCATAGGACCTCATCAAACCAGTTTCTTGAAGGGTCGAAGCATCTTCGAGAATACGATTATTAGTCAAGAAATTGTTCACTTCATGCATGAAAAAAAAGGGCTGCATGTTGGATGGGGATTAAGATCGACCTCCAAAAAGCTTTAGATCGCTTGAGGTGGAAGTTTATTGAAAATACTTTGGTAGATGTTGGACTGCCAGGTGATCTTATTATATTAATCTCTCACTGTATCTCCACTACTTGTTGCGGAAGACGGCTATCGGATAGAGCAAAATAACAACTGATAATTTGAGAAAATAAAAATGAAGATAAAGAAGACACAAAATTTACGTGGAAAACCCCTAAATAATATAGGGTAAAAACCACGGGCAACGGTAGAAGAATTTCACTATGAGAAAATAAGAATTACAACCTCTCTCGATCTACCAAGGAGAAAACAATGATAATTCTCTCTTGATAAAAAGGAGAAAACAACTCTCAAGAAACTCTCTAAATTCTCTCTAGTATTGGAAGAAAGCTAGAATGCTTTGGGATGATTTTGAAGTTAAATGAGCTAGGGTATTTATAGTTGAAACATAAGGACTAATTTGTAAATACCCTAAAGTACAATGACTAAATTGAATTATCCCATTTAATAAAAAATTTCCATGCACCTTTCGGTGCATTAATTCTTAAAAATAATTGCCAACTTGCTTGATACTTTCGGTGGTGCATGCATTTTCAACAATCTCCCACTTGAAGATTTGATTGGAACAATCATATCTTCACACCATTCTTTCTACCTTGTACCTTCATGTTGCTTACGTCTCTGACAGGCCACAAGAGGATCGACACCAGGTAAATTTATCAGCATTGATCGTCTTCGTCATGAAATCTGCTATATTGTCTTTGGTATGGATCTTCTGCATATCTACTGTCCCTTCTTCCACCTTTTCACGAATGAAATTGTACTGAACTCGTATGTGCTTTGTCCTTGAATGAAATGTTGGATTCCTTGCTAGATGCAAGGCGCTTTGACTTTCACAGAACATAGAGAAATACTCTTGATTGTGCCCAAGCTCTTCTAATAGCATCTTCAACCAAATTGTTTCTTTACTGCTTGTGTAGCTGCTACATATTCTGCCTCTGTTGTAGATGTAGCCACAACTGACTGCAATTTTGAAACCCAACTTACAGCTCCACCAGCAATTTTAAACACATATCCTGTAGTAGATTTGCTTTTATCCAAATCCCCTGCATAGTCAGAATCAACATACCCATTAATAAGTAAATTTGATCCTCCGTAACATAATGCAACATTTGAGGTCCCTTTGATGTATCTCAAGATCCTCTTTACTGTATT